CCTCTCAAGGATTTCATCTCTTAAAACCATCATCTCAGAGTCAGAATTTCAGCAGATTAATTTTAAGGGAGATGTGAATTATCTGCAGCAGAGAGAATTAGGAATTCCCTTGCAATTTTTCTTGTTTTCCCAGATTAGCTACAGAAGAAAGCATGAGTTCGTACATGATGTGGGGGAGATCCAAGCAGACAGGTGAGAACTCCCATAGTTAGGTGTCTTGAACTTAGATCATGCAGCTCTTAGAACCACACTTCTGGGTTAAGAGAGCTGAGCTTGAAGCAGGAAGGAGACATGCAAGCAAGAGAGGGTCTGTCCTCTCAGATACAGGGAAAGTGACACAGGAAAATTTAGGCAGAAGTGAGAATGATTGGTAGATGTTAGCTGGGGAGTCACAGAGGAGTCACATGTCCAGTGTCGTTTCCAAGTCAGTGAACTGGCCCACAGAGGTTGGATGGCAGATGCTGTCTTTAAGTACAGTTGGGGACTTATCCTTGCTTCATATGGTTCATCCATAGCACTGAAGAAATTCCTTGGCTGATTTGATTAAACCCTGAGTTTTGAAAGCCTGATACCGTCACACTGAGGAAAAGAATTAAGTTTTTAAGCCGAGAGGATCTTGCACATATTTAAGTTAGAAAGGACAATATTAAAACTGGCCTTGTCCCCTCTGTGTGACAATATCCATGTGATGATAGCACAATCTCTTTGATGATGAATTTATTTTGGATATGCAATTTTTTCCCTTTCTAACAAATCTTGTCTTTTGTGTTCCACTACACAATGGGTGGCATTATAAAATAGAATAGATCATAGACTCATATCTTTAAAGTCATGAAGAAAGTCCACTAGTGCCAATCAGCTACTAGAATGCCTTTACTTTGCCCTTTTCTTAAAATATATTCATTTTTATATGTATATGTGTGAGACAGAAATGTGCCTATGATTGTTTGAGCATGTATGTGTGTGAAAGAGAGACGGGTGTATTGTGTGTGGGGGGGGGAGAAAGGGAGAGAGGGAAGGGGGAGAGTGGGATGTGTGAAGGAGAAGAAAGGGTAAGAGGTGTGTGTGTGTGTGAAAGAGAGAGAGAGAGAGAGAGAGAGAGAGAGAGAGAGAGAGAGAGAGAGAGAGAGGTGTATATATGTGGGGGGAAGAAAGGGAGAGAGAGGCATGTGTAAATGTATGTGATGGGGGAGAAAGGGCAAGGGGAGTGGGGTGTGTGTGTGAGGGAGGAAGAAAGGGAAAGAGGTGTGTGTGTGTGTGTGTGTGTGTGTGTGTGTGTGTGTGCATGTAGAAATCCTGGGAGACCAGAAGAAGGCATTAGATTCCCTGGAACTGGAGTTACAGATGGTCATGAGCTGCCACGTGGGTTCTGGGAACTAAACATGAGTCCTCTGTAAGAACAGCCAGTGCTCTTAACCATCTTTCCAGCTCCATAATTAGTTTTTTGATTCAAGTATTTTAATGCCTGCTATGAGCCAGGCACTTTTCTAGGTCTTTATTCTAGAGATTGGGAGAAGACAAAGAAATGTGCTATTTATATCAGGGTAAACAATGCACAGAAAAATAGAGTAAGGGGCTCCATGCTGATGGGAGTGCCCAGGAAGTGTCACCACAGCAGAGAATAATCTGGAAAGAAAATGAGAGGGACGAAGGAACAAGAAAACATCGTGACCAGAGACTGAGAGGTAAGAACAGCAAGAATCAGAGTGAGAGAGGAAAGGACCTTGTTGGGCATGGGAGAGGACCTGAGCATTTTCAATGGAGGTTTGGAGAAAAGGTGCTCATATTCTGGTTTCTCTTTTAAGCCTTGGTTCTGGCTATTTTTTGGTGAATTGCCAGAAAAAATGGGAGGAGCCAAAAGCAGAAGCAGAAGTTTGAACACTGTGGAAATATTTCTGTTTATAATGCTACAATGGAACTTGATGATTAGGGGAGTTCTGGTAGTCATGGGTATTGCAAAGATGGTATAAGATTATAATATACATATATATATGTATATATATGCTATTCACTTTATAATTTAATATGTACACACACACACACACACATACACACACACACACACACACACACACACTCACACATTAGTGTCTTCCATGGGAAAGGTTTTAAGTGAAATGACTGAAATTGGTGAATTCTCTGGCTTTCGACTTTTGTGGTTATAGTCTTATGAAAACATTTGCTTCAGTCCCATTATCTTTGAAAAGAGACAGCTTTGAAAATAAGCCAGATAACCAACAACTTTAGACACACGGTATGTGCTAGTTATAGTATGTGCTAGTCACTAGGACATACCAACATGGATTTCCAAACTGTGAAAGCTTAGGTTTTTTGTTTTGTTTTTCTTAAACACAAGAGTGCACTTGAATAAACCTTTTATTCTATATACATATTATGAAAAATAAACAATTAGTTGGTCCTGATGGCACAGGCCTGTAATACTAGCTATGCAGCAGGAGGATCACAGGTTCTAGGCCAGCCTTGGAAAGTTGGTAAGATCCCTACCTCAAAATGAAAGGTAAATATGAGGGCTGAGGCAGAGCTCAGTGGTATAGTACTTACCTAGTGCACACAGGGCCCTGGGTTCCACCTCCTGAACCAAAAAAGAAAGAAAAAAACAATAATAATATAGTTAGGAGAATCATGTAAAACTCACAAGCCTACCCATCCTGCAGGATAGACTGACCTGGTAATTTTAGGTGCATTTTTCTAATTTATCAATGTAGAATTAGTGTTACAATATTTTATGTTACCGTTCTATATTCAGTATGCTGATGGTATGGGGATTTTAAGAAGTGTCTCAGGCAACACACACAAGAATAGTTGAGGAAAGTTAAAGGTGGGATATCAATGGCTTATATTCTTTTATAGTGCACAGGTTGAGGGCAGGTTTTCACTATCCAACACTAACTCCGCTCTGGGGTAGATGCTTCTAAGGCTACCCTGAGCATTGCACACTATTTATAGACATCATTGAACTCACCTAGCTGGAAGTCAGTTCACCTCAGTATCCCTGAACATTGCTGTATGTCAAGCAGGAGAGGCCTGTCCAACAAATCCCCTTCAGGGACATCCACTGTAAAACAGTAGGTATCTGTCCACTTAAAAATTAAGCTTTCTTTTGAGATGCTAAAAATGAAAACATCTACCTTGATTATTCTCAATTTTGGACTTTCACATTCTAGAAACAAACTAACAACAAAACAAAACAAAAAACTACCTCCCCACCCCCTTGCAGGAATGACTTTCTCCCATTATCTTAAGGCCATTTTTAATCCAAACTAAATATGTTTGTGCTAATCACTCTAGCCCCACTGTTGCTGTTCCTCACCCTTGGAACAAAGGAAAGTTGGTAACTAACTCTTCAAGAGAAAAATGTTCCAAGTGGCTTCAGTTCACACCATCCCCAGTGTCTGGGTGTGGCTTTTCCTTGTCCTGTATCTCATGCTGATGAAGAAGCCCATCTGCTTCACAGACATTTCTTTATTCCCCAGCCCTGATGAGGTAGAAGGCAACAGAGAGGTGGGATTCAGGCTTATTAAAATGCATACATACAGATTTCACTCTGATTACAGAGGCTTGATTTCAGCCCCCCGTAGATACTAAGATCTGTTAGTACTCAGGTCCTTTATATAAAATGCTGGTGACTTTGCATATAAACAACACTTTAAATCAGCCCTAGATTGCCTTTTGCAGGTGGAACATAGCTAATCTGAAAATCTAAACTCTTCTGAAACCTGGAACTTTGCTGACACGATGTCACATGATTCTCTTCTCTTTCATGGTGCAAAGTTACTTCCAAAAGCTGTATAAAATCACCTTTGGGTTTGTTTATGAACATGATTGAACACGTGTAAGGCCAGAATCTGCACTGTGTTGCCTAGACTGAATCTCATGCTTAGATTCGGGTCTCACCTCTAAGATGCCTCATTTTATATAGGAAAACATTCCTATATTTCTTAAAGGTTTCAGGCCTGAAGGCTTTAGATAAGGGACACCCTGTAAAGTCTAATATGGTACAGATGGTGCCTAATATTATATTGTTCAGAGGATGACAAAAGGGGTCTCTGTTTGTTCAGTAATATGCAGTTTTATTTCTCCTTGTTTGTTTGAGACAAGGGTCTCTATCAGTCCTGGCTATCCTGGAATCCACTAGATAGACCAGGCTGTCCTCAAAAGAGCCTTCTCCCTCTGCCTCCCCAGTGTTGGGATTAAAGGTGGGTGCCGTCATACCTGGCCAGTTTTCTCTAATATTTTCAGCCCACAGTAGGTAGAATCATGGATGAAGGAGGCTCCCCAAAACAATTTATCTCACCTCTTTCCATCCAAATAACAGAGAGGCACTATTTTTGTATACCCCATGACCTAAATCAGGCCCCCCTGAGCAGAATGCAACAGTAGCGCAGGACAGCCTGAGGGTTTGCAGGGAGACAGATCACCTGCCGTGGTGGGTCTCACAAAGCTCTTTCATGTTGTGTTCAAATGAGATGTGTCACCACAAAACAGGTTTAGAAAAACCTAGACACAGTAACAAGACAAGGATCTTGTCGCAATAGACTTCAAGAAAATACTGAGCTAAGGCTGACTAATGGATTTGGTTCTCATGTCAGCAGCCACCAGAAACTTATTCATTGCCTCAGTTTCTCGGCCGAGAAAATGGGGCCGGCGTGTTAAATCGCAGTACAAAACAGAGCAATTCCAAAATCCCGTCTTAAAGAAATTGCCATCAGAGCGCTGTTCATATGCACAGGCATCAGGCAAACATATTTTATGGGATAAGCGCGCGCATCTGTAGGGCACAAAGCCGCTGGCCCAACCCAGGCATAGCAGCACACCCTCTGCCCATGCGTAGTAGAGCAAGCCTGCCTGAGGCGTGAGTGGCGGGCCTGGGGTGTCCACGTCACTCTGCCCAGCGCTCCCACAGCCCCTGGGCGCTCTCTGCGCCTCGCTCCGCCCCTCGCTGCGCGGGCCCGCCAAGAAGCAGCAGAGCACCAGGCGCCATGGCCGACCTGATCAGCAGTGAGAAGCTAGGCCGGAGGCCAGGGCAGGTAGGAGCTGTCTGTCGGGAGAGGGCTGTGAGCATCACCCCAGCCTGGCCCCTCAGGCCCAGCCCCACCGGAGCACACTCAGGAGGCTCCATCAAGGGTCTGGAGCCGTGCTCGGTGTGGGGCTGATAATTCAGGCAAGAAAGCCACTGGGCCAAACTTCGAACCCCTGACCCCAAAGCCCCGAGTGGAACCTGGGGCCAGTCTTGGAATTGGGAGACCCTGCTTGTCCTTTCCTACAGGAAAGGTTTGGGCTGTAGGAGTGCGCATTTATCTGCATTTATTTCCGGAGTCCCTGTCCTTGCATTGTTCGCCTTTCGAAGATGGCGACCCAAGGTGGCCTCGATCAAACAAAGCCTGCTTGCCAGTTGTTCGCAAGCATCCAGATTCTGCAGATGGAGGCTCTAGAAACTCGCTTTGACCAGATCCTTGGTGACCCGCAGGGTAACTGTTTTAGATTAAAAAAAAAATAGGAAGAAAAAAGAAAAAACGGAAAGTGAAACCCAGGTCTGGTGACTTACGCCCACGATACCTGCACTTGCTAGCCGAGGCTGGAGGACTGCTATGAATTCAAAGCCTGTCCTGGGCTATAGTGTGAGACCTTGTCTACAAGACGAAACAAAACAAAGGCAGGGAAGCTGATGGCCTAGCTAGGAAGCGCAGAGGAGCGTTACTCACCCCAGAAAGCGAAGCCAGCGTTATCTGTTGTTCAGAATTTTCTGGATAAATACGAGGGTTAACTTATACCTAGATGAGTTTTCTTAAAGCCCTTAGAAGGCTTTGACTACTTAATCTTTTGACCCCTTAGGAACAAGCTTCTGGAAACGGAGTTATTTCCGTAAATTGTTTAACGGGGTTTTGGTAATTCTGGGCGGTGTTTGTGCGCGCACGAAAGCTCTAAGAAAAAGTACTTCAGCGGCTCAGGATTAAGCAAAGCTGCACAAAAATGAAATTCCGAATAAAATGCCTGCTTATCTAGAACACAGATAATTGTAGATTCTGACCCAGGAGAGTGTGGAGCCCCCTATGTGAGCACCACAACTTGTTCAGTTTCCAGATACAGCTAAATCACTTGGTGTCTGGGAAACCAGAGGCCAGTGATCACCCTCTGAGAGTTCAGGCCCAGGCAGCCTTGGCTGGTTGTCATTGCTGCTCCCTGTGATAAGAGTGACATAAATAACGACTCACTAAAATGGAGTGATTTGTGCTAAGCACTTCAGCACCTGCTGTTACTAATTAAGGGTTTAGACTGCCACTGACTGCAGATGGAAACCTAGTGCTTTTAAATTGTAGGACTGGAGTGCCCTGAATGCTGCGACCAGAAATGAGACAGTAGATAAGGGCATTAGTGATGATGCCAGTTATGAAACTGCCCATAATTAAAGGACAAGGGACAGGGTGTTAATGTTAATAGGGCATACCCCAAGAGAGCAAGGGATTTCATTTTCACCTCATTTAAAAAAAAATTTCCCAATGAATATGTATTGGTTAAAAAAATGCACTAAGCAATTCATACAGAAAAAAAAATACTGTCAAATGAAATCTAGCCAATTGTGTTCTTAGGTGGAAATTATAGACGTGTGTTCAAAGGCAATTTTGCAAAGGAGAATATGCTAGAACTTTCCATTTCTTTCATTGTTGGCAAACCTTTCTATAGCCTGTGTTCAGATGTTACACCATCAACAATTTATGCTAATTATACTTTATCTGCTAAATTTACATTGCTGGATAGTGGTCTTGAGTGGCATCCTAACTGTTCTAATCTGTGTGACTGCTAACACCCTGAGTATGTTGTGGTTCTGATTTTGTAGGTCAGGAAAAGGAGCAAGAGCACCAATCACATCTTTCTGGAACAGCTTTGTTTTGTACTGTGTGCCTCAGCACATAGCATTTACAAACCCTGGGCTCCTGCACAGAACATGGCTTCCCATGCTGCTGCTTCCCCACTCCGCCTTAACTACCCCCTCAGACTCCTCCCCATGTGTTTGTCTCTTACAGCTCTTGGATAGATTCTGGGGACTCTGGGAGGGGAGCCTGGGAGGAGATTTGTGCAGTTAGAACATCAGGTGCCACCTAGAACAAGGCTCAAATAGATAGCTGCTTTTGTTCTCAGAGTCTGTGACTCACACAGTGGGGAGAACAGTTTCCACTGCCCAGCCTGAATGCACATCCCTGTAATTCTTTCCCATTCTTTCAGCTTGAAATAACATTGTATGTGTGTGCTGTGCTCAGGTATGGTGTGTAAGAAAATATAGAGGTGTCTACCATGCAAAGGGCCCTTGCACTGTGAGCTTCCCCTTCGAATGTAGGTTGGGTTGTGTCTCTTACTTTAGAGCCAGTGATGGTGCCTGGAACCAGAGGGCAGATAATGGTTCCTGCCCTGAAGCCTTTGCTCCCTTGGTCCCACATCAGATGTTGGGAATGGGCTGGTAACCAAGGCTTACACACTGTTCTGCTGTTTGCACCAGAGGGAAGGTATAGAAGGCCTGTGTGGGGTGCTTGGCTGCCCCTTCACCTGTATTGCCAGCACTGTCTCTGCCTAGTAGGAGGGCTCAATAAATACCTGTGGGAGAGTAATTATCAAACATGAGCAGGAGCACAAAGTGGCAAGGTGTTTGAGAAGACTAAACAACAGAACTTCCTAATAGAAAATTTTACAAATTATCCCCAGTCCCAGCCCCCTGGCTTATAAACTATTCATGCCACATTGTTTTATTCTCAAGTGACTCAGTGAGAGAAAAATTACTATATAAAGATAAAAGAAAAATTAGGGGACTGGAGAGGTAAGTTGCTTAGTTGGGAAAGGGCTTACAGCTGAAGCATGATAATTCAAGTTTGGCACCCAGTACCCATATAAAAGCCAGATGCAGCAGCAACGGCAGCATGCATTTGTAACCCAGTGCTTGGGAGAGGGGGCTGAGACAGTGAGATGGCTGCAGCTTGTTGGACAGCCAGTCTAGCCCAATGCCTGAACCTAAGTTCAGTGAGAAACTTTGTCTCAAAACATAAGGTGGAAAGTAACTAAGACACTTGACAGCCACCCATCCACCACATGCCCACATACATACCACACACATAAACACCTTATACACACACACATACCACATACACCCAACACATATACATTCATACACATACCACACCACATAAGCACATACCACATATACACATTGTATACACACACTGCAAACATACCACATAAACAGATATCACATACTTAACACACATTACACACATTACACACACACACACACACACACACGACAGAAACATTTATATCATCATTTTATGGTTACCCTATCTGTACCATGTAGATTATATTAGCATATTGGCAGTTGCTTCTACTAAACACATAATTAAACAAACAAAACTGTAACCCTCTTAGAGTAAGTTCTCATAAGCACATATCACAGATACAACAGCACTCATCTTTGGGGAGGGTCTCACAGGAAGATGCTGGGATAGAATCTATCATGTGGTAGAGTGTGATTGGACAACAAACACTAATGAATTGCATCTGAAATTCGGCTGACCTGTGGTTTGGTTTTCAAATGAAGTGAAAGATCACAAGGGCCTCCAGATTCCGGGTCATAGTTTTCAGGAGCTGAGGCAGGAGGATTGAGTGCTTGAAGCCAGCCTAGGGAACATACCAAGGTCCTGTGTCAAATAATTAACGAAATAATTCTTCTTAAAGGAAAAGGTTGTGCTATGTTTTGAAAATATTAGGGTTTTCGAAGAAAATAGAAGTTTGGTGAAGTAGGCTGATGTCAGTTTGCAAAAAAAAACAAAACAAAACAAAAACAACACATTGATGAGTGGACACTTTTATCCGTTCTGATGTTGGTGGGGCAGATAAATGAGACTGGCTCCTGCTGGTGGGTTGAACATAACTGCTTCCGCCTCTTCCTCTGTTCTGAACTCCACAGCAGCAGGCACTTTTGAAGTAATGCAGCCTCTGAAAGGGGAGGGGCAGTTCTACATTTAAACCCAGGGAGACCCAACCATTGGATACAATGCGTGGGTTTAGATGGACTCTTGGTCCCAACACAGTAGTTTCTCTGAGATACTGAAATCCACAGTCAGATTTGAAATCTAGAAAGTGCCAGGAGCTGAGAGTTCTCTGTTCACTACAGAGAAAAGTGTTGTAGACAGGGAGAGGAGAGTTGCTGAGGTGAGGCCGATGGATAAGAACAAAGACCCACACGTGTGCAGAGGGTGAGCACCTGGTGTGGAAGCAGCTGTGTGCAGAGTGCCTGTGCTTAGCTTATTCATCTATCTGACCAGTGGAAGGATGCTTTTGCCTCCAGTATATGCCTGTGAACTGCTGTCTCTAGAGAATGAGCTGCACGTGGGACAGAGCGTCCCAGTGTGGGTAACTCCAGTCCCCTGTGTAGCCAGGAACAGGCACAGCCCAGCCTCTCTGCTGTTCAGTCTGTTGTTCAGTTTCCTGCTCCCTAACACTGACCTAAATCAGTTTCCATTAAAGGTAGCCAACACTGGGGACATTTACAGCCTCTTAGCCCTTGATTCACAAGTTTCTCTAGGGAAAGATTACTGGATGTAGGTGTGCAGCTCTTCCAGGCACACGTTGTGAATCTGCTTTATTATGAGTGTTAGTGTCCTCTCCAAAGTCACTTCCTGATGTCCTCACTACAAGGTGTTGACATTAGGAGGTGGAGCTGTTCCAAGTGATTAGGGTCACTAGGATACTTCTGCCATCAAGAATAAGATTAGTGTTCCCATAAAAGAGGCCCTAGGTGGGCCCATCAGCCCTTCCACCACATAAAAGCACACTGAGACATTGCCTTCTCTGAATCAGAAATCATGCCTTCACTCAACACTGGATCTGTCAACACATTGATCTCGAAATTTCCAATCTCCAGAGCAACAAAGAAATTTGTTTTGTTCATAATTAACCTTGTTTGGGTCCTTGGAAAAGAAAACCGAAGGTGTTTGGAAAAAGAGAATAGAAACAATTGTTTGAATTCTAATTTACGAGGCTGGGGTTGGTAAAGTACTTATGTGCAAGTATTAGGAACTGAGTACCTGTGTAAAGACCAGGCACAGTATCTCAAGCTTGCAACCCCCCCCCACACACACACACTTCTGGGAAGACACAGGGGGAGCCCCTGGAACTCATTGGTCAGCCAGTTTAGGCAAATCTTTGAGCTACAGGTTCAGTGAGAGAGACTGGCTCAAAAAATAAGATGGGGATAAACAGATGAAGAAATCTCATGCAGACTTCTACCCACCATCTACAGGCGTACACATGTGCGATCACAATTGAACACACACCAGGCATAACTGCACATTCATGTAATTCTGGCTAGCCATACTGTCATATGTGGGAAATCCAAGCCCAAACTCAAGAGACACTCAACAAACTAGGTGGACACTGCTGGAAAAATGACACTCAAGGTTGTCCTGGGACCTTCACACACACATGCACACACATAGACCCAAGTAAAATTCTAATGTATATCTTCAGAGAAGTCACATTCTAAAAAAAGCCAGGTTATAAAAACAACAAAAAATATAAAACCTTAAAAATCCACAATTCACATTAAATTCAGTACTTTTTAGAAGACTGAAGGCTGCACAAGCAATCTAATCTACTACAGAGAAGTGGAGACAAAGAATCTTCCTGGGCTTTCTAACTTTTCCCAGAAGATTCCCATGAAGAGAAAGAAAACAGCGAGGAAAAAGTGGTCCACGATGGAAGAAATACCATCAGTTTCCAGAGCCAATAATAAGTGCTCATACTCAGACACTATCAGGACACTAAGATAAAAAAGGACATAAGATGACCCAAAGAAAGCAAAGATGATTGGTACTTTCAGCAGTCATTCTGAAGATCACAAGGTAATGGACCATCATCCTCCAAATTTAGAGACACCGTGATTTTGACCTAGACCAGCTAGCACTGACTTGTGAGACCTGGGTGACTAGAAGAATCTCCTGAGCCTGTACTGGAATTCAATAAAGTGGATCCCAGGAAAAAGCAAGTAGGAGCTACAAGGAACAGTATGGATCAAAGAAACAACAACAAAAATCGTTGTATGTAAATATTAATTGTAAATACAAGAGATAGAATCAAGTCTTTAATTCCAGGCATTCCCAGCAGAAGTGCATGGAGGATAGGAGAGAGGGAGATAGTTATGTGAAGGATGCTGCCTTGTGTGGAGAGAGGCAAGGGTCCAACTGTCAACCCATGGTTTGCATTTGACTAAGGATTGCTGTGAATGAGGCACAAAACCCAAACATAAACTCACTTAAAACATTATGAGATGTTTTTGTATATTTTGCTTGCATGTATATATGTGCATCATGTGTATGGCTGGTGCCTGCGATGGCCAGAAGAGGGCACCAGGTCCTCTGGAACTGTCGTTAGCAATAGCTGTAAGTCACCACATGGGTGCAGGAAACAAATCTGGGTCTGCTGCAAGAGTAGCCAGGGTTCTTAAAACTCCTGAGCCATCCATCACTCTAGCACCAAATTTAGATTTTTAAAAATTTGTTCTCCCAAAAGTGGTTTTAGCAAAATAAATAATGTGGGACTCACAAATTTGTCTTTCTCACAAAATACATTTTCCAGCAGAAAAGTCCAATTAAGAAACTGGATCATAACCTTACCTGTTAATGGAGCAAGAGAGAAGTTTACAGGGAAACCACACTCCAAAGGCCTTAGTGGGCAAGATCTTTACAAAGTAGCAAGATGCTCAGACCCCAGCATAGTCCTGGGCATAAGGCAATGACAAGCTTCCTGGCCTGGAGTACTGCCAGCTCCTTGAGTTATTTCTCATTCCTGTTTGTTTGGTAGTAATTACATGTGTCCTCTGATTCCTTTCTTCTCTTTCAGAGAAAACTAGATCTTTTGCTAGTTGGAGATGCCACAAGATACTTCCTGACTGTCTCTGTACAGAGATTCTTTTCCAGCCTGGCACATGCCACCCTGACCATTTGCAATGTGAAGAAGGCAGCTATGCTTTTGGTTACAAAGTCATTCGACATAATTTTCTTGAAGGTGGCTTCCACCTTAACTGCAGAGGAACTGGAGATTGTCAAGTCAGTTAGGTAAAACTGCTCAAATCTTGACTCTGCATCTTTAAAATCGCCTTTAAAACCCATTTCTTAAATCCATAAGATACAGTATTATTGATATACTTGACATAAAATTTGTCCACCTTAAGTTTTTTAAAAAATAACTGCCATTAATATGCACATCTTTTCAGAGTTTATTAAGAGTTATGGTGGATATGAAAGCAAGCACCCTGAGTTCTGTGTGGAGCTGGCAATGGCCTGAATTTATTTCTGGGGTGTGATAGGCTCTTGGGATCTGATGTTGAGTCCAGACCCTACCATCTCAGATAGCCCCTTAGCCATGGAGGACTGCTGCTTACTGGCTTGCTCCCAATGGCTTGTTCAGCTGCTTTTTTGTTCTACCCAGGACCACCTGCCCAGGGGTGGCACCAACCACAGTGGGCTGGGCCCTCCCACATGAGTCACTAATCAAGAAAACGCCCTACGTACTTGCCCTCAGACCAGCCTGATGGAGGCATTTTCTCAGTTGAGGTCTCCTCTTCTGGGATGACCCAGGCTTGTGAGCTGAAGAACCAGCTGTGGCTTAGCTGGCATACTAGTCTGGTTAACTATTTCAAAGTACATTTTAGTTTGAAAAATTTCAAGCATATGAAAGTAGAAAGAACAGACAGGTGAATTCCCAAGTCCCCAGTGCAGCTTTGATTGTTCTTAGTGTGACATCTTCCCTCTTTCAAAAAATCTCTGCTGCAGGTGGATTTTACAGCAAATCTGACATTGCTTAGTTCATCTGTCCATGTTTTAGTAAATACTTGGCTAAGATTGGACTCAACAAAAGCCACACCAATGACACATCTATAGATTAATAATTCTGTAATATTGAAATATCTAATCAGTGTTCAGTGTTTCCTGCTTATGAATCTAAAAACACATGTTGATAAAAATTCAAATTTCAACTTTATCTTCCTTGTTTTTTTGTCTTAAATTATACATATGTATCTTTTGTTCAAACGCACACATATGTATGTGTTTAAAAGAGTTTTTAATTTTATATAACTTTATCCAATCTGGATTTTGCTGATTTAATTCTATTTTTACATTTATTTATTTTTATTTTATGTGCATTAGTATTTTGCCATGTGTGTCAGATCCCCTGGAACTGGAGTTACAGTTGTGAGCTGCTATGTGGGTGCTGGGAGTTGAACCCCTGGTCCTCTGGAAGAACAATCAGTGCTCTTAACCACTGAGCCATCTTTCCAGCCCCTGATTTTATTTTGATCGTGGTCTTGAAATGTCCTTTTTTTCTTCAACCTTTTTTAAACTAATAAGAAATTTGAAAATATGGATAAGGTTCAGGTTATTTTCTTTAGTTAAGAAAGAGCAGTCAGTCATATCATTCCTCATTGATTTGAGATGCTGAGTTTAAAACGTTTTCCCATTAGTTTAAATTCTCCAAGTTAAAGGCATCTATAGTTTAGTTTCTAGTAAGTTAAACCCTTGAGTCTGATTTTTTCTGAATGATGATTTTGTTTCTTTGTAACACTTTCCCCTTTCCCCCCCCCCCCCGTCCCCCCCAAGATCTCGAAAGAAGAAAAACACACGTTTGCTGTTTGTTTTTGTAATACCTGAAAAATTTAAAGGTATGTATGTGACTTCCTCATGTAGCATGTGTTTCATTTTCAATTGGGAATTACAAGGTTAGTGTTAACATGATTTCTTTAGACTGTATTTCAGAATATGGAGTGGATATAAGTTTCACTGAGCCACTGACCTTGGAAAAAATGAACACAGTTGTAAACTACTGGAGAGCATTTTTCACAGATACAGGTGAGTTAAAAATATATTTGCAAAGGTTTAAGAAATTCTCATTAAACTCTACAAAAAGCCATGTTTGCACATCTTTAAATTAGTTTCCCATTTAAGCCTTTTATTTGTGGATTAACAATTTGCTATGTATTTTATGAGTGTGTTTTTAATCGTGATCAGGAAATAAGTGTAAATAAGGAGAAAAGAATTTTTCCTTTTTCTGTAAGAGAAGCTAAAATGTTCAGAAATTTCAAATGAGGTGCATGATAGCTGTGTGATGATGGGTTCTGTTTGTTTTTATTTGAGATTGTTACTAAGTTTCTTTTCATTTGGTACCCTGGCTGCCATCATAGCTTGGTTATTAAAATATAATTGATTAGGTTACTTCATTACAGGGATGTTCAAAAAACAGGAGCATTAACCTGGAATTGCACAGTAACTCTTTCCTTAGAAAACACTTGTGTAATTATTTATCTCTTGAAATGAATAGAGGGTCATTCTTTCTCTTGCATAGGTTTAGATACAAAACATTAATGTCAATGCCTCAATTAGACCTCTCCTTCGTAATCCCTTACCTATTGTATTGTGTATATTGCAACACTTGAGCACTAATTAAATTAGCTTATCCTAAGCATCCAAGTCCTGGAATTAATGTGGCTCAATAACTATTTTTGCTTGTTGTAGGCTGGGCTACTAGCTGAGAAATTGCTCAGAATTAAGTGATATTAGATGGAGAGCATTGGTCAAGGGGTGCTGCACCCTATGAGTAAACTCTGAAGACCTAAGATACAGTTTGATGGCTGTGTTAAAAACACTGTGTGGAATGCTTGAAACTTGCTGAGAGTATCCATTTTAAACGTTTGCAACACATGCACAAGAAAATAACTATGTAAGGTGACATGTGATGTATACATTAACTTGATTGTGCTATGTTTACAATGTATATGTTTATCAACTCTACATAACACACACACACACACACACACACACACACACACACACACACACACACACACACGGTTATATCTCTGTAAAGCTGGAAACTTTTTAATCTTAAAATTAATACTTTCTTGCCGGGCGTTGGTGGTGCACGCCTTTAATCCCAGCACTCGGGAGGCAGAGGCAGGCGGATCTCTGTGAGTTCGAGTGCCAGGATAGGCTCCAAAGCTACACAGAGAAACCCTGTCTCGAAAAACCAAAAAAAAAAAAAAAAATGATAATACTTTCTTGAAACATACCATGGGTCGTTATATATAAGTTCACATTCTGGAGTCAGTATGCCTGCCCCTTTATAGTGCTACTTTTCAATGGTCAGTGTAGTGAGTTCAATTTGTAGCAGATCCTCACCCCCACCCCCAATCTCAGCCCCTCTGGCTTCAGAGAAGTCTTCCTGGGTATGACTAAGCATGAGGTCATGGTCCTTTTGCAGGCTGTTCTCTGGTCCTCAGTGCAAACAGCAGCTGGTCACCACTCACCCTACACCTTTGATGGGTCACAGTCATTCTCTAGATGTTTTATCATTGCTCCAAGGACCAACAGCTGCAGATTCTTTTTCCCTTGAGGCAATATCTTGACAGTGCAGTTGCTTGACATTTACTTAGAAATAGGAAGGTGAGGCATAAGCCCTGTTGGAGGTGCTTTATAAGAGAAGTCACTGAGTTACCAGGTACTCACTGAAAAGAGGGTGTCCTGGGCTTCAGCGTATGGGGCCGTTCAGTGGTACTTTCTAATCCGAGTGGTTTTATGCCTCCTGGACTGAAATCTATCATTTGCTTTCTATTTATAAACCCTGCTTTGTAAAAGTCATTGGTAGTGATTCTAATACTAAAATGAGCCTCTTTCCAAACTCCCGGCAGATGAGGAAAGCGTCGAGAGCCTTCCGGGATGTAAACTGCACATCCAGACTGCCTGTGCTGAACTCGGGGGACACTTTTCTCCTGATCTGTTTCTTTGGTTAGTTTTATTTTTCCCTACTTTTCCATGTTACATATGCCCTGTGTGTGCATTTCATTAAAGATACTGCAGCGAACTTCATGATAGGACACTAGCCCTGGTGCTGAGAGTGATGAAGAGGGAAGGGCTCTTGCCTGGAAGACAGGAAGCATTCTTCGGTTTCAGATTCTAGAGTTGAGATCAGGGTACGCCTCACAAGAGGACTCAACCCAGCAGAAGAAAGCACATTGATTCTCAAATAAAATAACAGCAGACCCCTTTTTTTGTCAAACACAAATCTGAAATTCTGATATCTGGACAGACAAACACAACCTTACCTAGTTTGTCTACAGGACTTTCTCCGTGTTGTCTGTTTTGAACTCACAAACTCAACACTTCAATTGTTGGATGCCTGTGTTTAGGAGAGTTTGTTATACATCCTGTGAAGGAAGTTCTCAGTTTTTGTTTTTTGGTTTTTTTTTGTTTTAAGGGGCAGTTTGGGTAGGCTGTCTCAGTGTCTGTACCTCTCTCAGTGTCTTCATGTCTGGGTGATAGAGCTGGCATTCAAACCCACATCCCACAGGCAGTTGAACTTGGGGTCAGACTCTTTTAACTTTGCATGTTGGGTAAAACCCAACTTTTTTGTGAATGTTGCTTCCCAGAATGGTCACATACTGTGGTCCATGGATACTGATGCTGGGGAAATTCTGAGTCAGGTACTTCCAGAATGTGTAGAATGCCCTCCACTTTAGGAACAAGGAGGGGACTTGGCAGCCAGTTCAGTGCAGCCAACCAAAGGTGATCTCACTTAAGTGGTGCATGAAGAGCGACAGCTTTTAGAATCGTATTTAGCAGCTGAGCCTCAAAGAGTGTTATGGAAAGATGCCCCCCTGTCTGGTGTGAGGTGGGGAAGGGAGTGGTGAGGTTCCAATATCGTGTGAAAGCATGTTTCAATGTCTGCCAATTCTGAATTTTTCTTTATCCTCCCTCCTAATCTTACCACTGTAAATAAAAGTAAAATTTCCTATCAAGTTCCACCCTTTTGGATAAAGGAAATAGTATTATAGGACTAGGGAGATAACTCGGCAATAAAGTAGCTGTTCAAAAGCACGAGAACTTGAGCTGAAAGCCAGAATTCAAACATAAAAGTTTTGAGGCATGGGTGTTCAGAACCCCAGCACTGGGGAAGTAGAAACAGGAGAAGGATCCTTGGGGCACCCTGCCTAGCCAGCCTAGCCCACTGGGTGACAGTGTAAGACTATCTCAAAAACTGTGGTGAACAGCACCTGAGGAAAGAAACCAAGGGGATCTCTGGCCTCTACATGCTCACTTTCTCTCTTCTCTCTCTCTCTCTCTCTCTCTCTCTCTCTCTCTCTCTTTCCCTCCCTCCCTCCCTCCCTCCCTTTCTCGCTCTCTCTTTCCTTCCCTCCCTCTCTACGTTTGTCTCTCTCTTCCTCCCTTTCTCTCTCCATTTTTCTCTCTCTCCATCTCTCTCTCTCTCTCTTTCTCTCTCTCTCTCTCTCTCTCTCTCTCTCTCTCTCTCCCTCTCTCTCTCTCTCTCCTCTCCCTCACACACACATACACCACACAGTGGGACTGGTTTTAAATTTTTTAAAAAACAATGCAAAGGGGGCCTATAGACATGACTCAGCCATTAATAGCATTGGCCACTCTTCCAGAGGAGCCAGGTTCAATTCCCTGCACCCATGCGGTAGCTCACAACTGTCTATGACTCCAGTTCCAGCAGTCCTGTTCCCTCTTCTGGCATCTGTGGGCTCCAGACACATGTGTTGCATATCATACACATAAAATGAAAATTAATAAAATTGTGCAAATCAAAGTCTTGTGCCCGCTTCTGGCATCTGTGGGCTCCAGACACATGTGTTGCATATCATACACATAAAATGAAAATTAATAAAATTGTGCAAAACATGAATTTTCAGAATCTAGACAGTAGTCAGAACAACGTCCCATAAATGAGAAAATTTAAAAGGGAGAGAAACTAACTTTGCTGATAAAGCTGGAGTAGGGTGTGTAAAGTTGCTCTGTTCTTTTCTCTATAATGGACCTTAACTTTTACGTTTTTGTTTCATGTATATGGGTTTTGCTATACTTATGTCTGTGTACCACAGGCTTGTAGTATGTATCCTCAGAGGCCAGAAGTGGGCATCAGATATCTTGGAACTGGAGTTACAGATGGTTATGAACCTTCATGTGGGTGCTGGAAATGGAAACTATGTCCTTTGTTATTAATCCCCGAACTTTCTCTCCGGCCCCATGTGCCTTAACCTCTTAAGGGTAGATACAGTCATGCTGTTTAATTTACAGAGGGACTCTAAGACCCAGTAAAAAATATTGTAGGCAAAAACTGCATCTCATCTGTCTGACATCATATAGCCTGTCATTTAACATTTTCAGAACATTTAATGTTAGCTTACAGGTGGGCAGGAGCCATCTAACTCAGTCTGCTTTATAGCAGGTTGTCCAAACATCAACTGTTGTATGTAATTTATCAAATACAGAGAAATAGACTGATGTTGCAATGTTTTTACAGTACCATGAAGTGTTAGAAAAAAAGCATTGTGTGTGGGTGACTGCTTGTAATTTGGAATAGCCATAATTGATAAAATTAGAATGTCTTAGTCCTGATTATGTTATATTTTAGAATTTTGATCATTGGATTTATGATATTTTGAAATCTGAAAGAAAAGATTAAGCACCAAATATGTCAGGTCCAGTGATTTAATGAATGTATTTTCCCCTTCGTATGAAGCAGAAGACTTAGTCTCCATCTGGTTAGTGAATTGGTGTTTATTGTTGACAGTTGCCTGGCAATTTTCCTCTTTAATATGTGGCATGATTTTCACTTGCTTCTAGCTCTGAGCAGCTGAAAAATGACACAGAACTTGGAGTGAAGGCCCCATTGCCAGGTCCTGAGAAAACCAGAAAGACTTCTGCTCTTCACTCAAGCAAAGAAAAGCTGAGGAGGTGAATGTCGATGTCACCTTTGGTTTCGTGGTTGTTCCTTCCACAAGTTTCATAACTTTAACATTGCTAAAATTAGTCTAAATGTATCTCTCTTTAGGATCCTAGCTTGGACACTGTCCTTTGCATTTTAGTTCATCTGCTTAGGAAAGCTATCTTCTTGTTTTCCTTCAGCTCAGGCCACAGCATGTGTAAAACACACATGTCACAAGACACCAACCTCTTGTTAAAAATATGGTCCAAACCCAGATTCTGACTCCTCTTGGCCTGCTAGGCTTCTAGTGTGACTTGAAAAAGGATGTCTGAATAGTGTGAGAGCCTTTCCCAAGGGCAGGCTTCCACAGATCTTCAGGGGCTGTGAGGGGTGTGCTTCGCACTGTCTGGGCACTCAGCATCACAGCTGTGGGCCTGGTCGAGGGAACTAGGACTGCCATGGCACTGACTCTGTATTTTGGCAGTTGTTCACCTTGTGCCACATTGCAGCGGGACCCTGGAGGTTGTGATCTCAAGAGCTGTGGGGACTACTGGCCTGTGAGGACATGGCCTGTCTCTGAAACAGGGACCAGATGAAGATGGGGACAGTCCATTTTCATAAAAAACCAGGAAGAAGAATCGTTTATCCTTATGACCAAAGAAGAAAGTGAGACTAATGCTTTCTTGTCTCCTTACAATTCTTTGAACAGAGAGCGCATCAAGTTTTGCTGCGAGCAGCTGCGTACTCTTCTGCCATACGTCAAGGGGAGGAAGAGTGATGTGGCTTCGGTTATTGAGGCAACTGTTGATTATGTGAAGTACGTCCGGGACACTATCTCTCCAGCCATCATGGCCCAGGTACTCAGTTTTTAAAGTCCTATTTGGTACTGCTTCTGTGCACCAATTTTTATTTTTGCTTTAGTTTTTGTTTGTTTTTTTTTTTTGTAACTGCAAATACATGTGTTCGTAAGTCTCTTTTTTACATATGCATATTTGTACTCCTTTAGATTACAGAAACCCTCCAGAGCAATAAAAGGTTCTCTAAGAGGCAGATGCCTATTGAGCTGTTCCTGCCACATGCAGCCACATCACAGAGGTATGGCCAGGGCTGTGTGGATTCTCTCTCTCTCTCTCTCTCTCTCTCTCTCTCTCTCTCTCTGTGTGTGTGTGTGTGTGTGTGTGTGTGTGTGTGTGTGTGTGTGTTTCCTTGTTCATGCTGGATGAATGGGCAGGAACTGAAAGCATACACAGTGAGAGCCCAAGTTAAGGATCTGGGAATGTCTCCTACCGCTCATACTAATCATTTCACTACTTCTATAAACACATATAATATCCGCCGAGCTGTGGTCCTTACCTCGGAGAACCTTAAAAAAGAGCTTTGAGACTCTGCTTGTCCAGCAGGGGCAGGATGGAGTCTATAATTCTCTGGCAGAGGTTGAGAGCTGTGGAGCATGTAAAACCAGTTAGTAAGCAGTCCTTAGGCTCACTGACACAAAATGTGACATGCCAAGTGATGACTTCCTTACTCAAACTTATGAGTCTGTGCAAGCAAAGAGAAATCAAAAAAAAAAAAAAGATCTTTGAAGAATCACTGAATGTCCTGAGAACCTCTTTGTTCTATTTAAATAATCTATAGCTGAGGCTCTATCAGGGTTTTTCAGATCTTGACTAATAGAAAAGCCTTTGAAGACCTGGGGTGTTGGCTCAGTGATTGAGAACACTGGCTGCTCTTGCAGAGGATCTGGGTTCAGTTCCTAACACTCAAATGGCGACTCATAGTTGTAACCCCAGTTTCATAGGATCTGATGTCCTCTTCTGGCCTTTGCAGGAGCTGAGTATATGTGGTGCACATACATACATGCAGGAAAACATTCATACATACAAATAGATACATTTTTAAAATTGCAATTTAGAAGAGCCTTTGAACTCAGCACCATTCTTGCTGTTTTCCTGGAGAGATGCACAGAGTGAATCCTTCTTGTCTTTCCAGGGAAGATGGTTTGCTGGCGAGCACTTACTCATCTGTGCAGGAGATCCAGCTCCTGGCTGATCAGTGCTTGAATGTGTATTCCGTGCCTGCTGCAGGAGGGCCCTTGGAGGAATCTGTAAGAGGTGAGCTATGCCTAACCCTGTGTAGCTCACAGAGCATGTGGGCCTAAATGGAGGTTCTGCAGTTCCCGGGTCCCCCGAGTCCCTGTTCGCTTCCTGCCATAGCCAGGTGGTCACGTGGAGCTGAGGCATTACACAGTGAGTCCTGGCTTCATCCTGAAGTGTTTAAATTGAGTTCTGTTAGTTCCTTTTGTATCACTGTGGCAGAATTCCCAACAAACAGCCCCAGGAAGGGACTATTTAGCTCCCTGCTCTAGAGGATGGAGTCTCTGATGGCAAAGGCAGGCAAGGCAGCATTCAGGTGATAGGACATCACAAAGCAGGGGTCAGGAATCAGAACAGGATGGAAGCAGGGGTAGAAGGCCCCAGTGCCACCAGCTGGGGAGCACGGCTTCAAAATGAGATTCAACCACAAGGGTTATCTCAGGGGCAGAAGCACGGGCAGCTCTTACAGAGGACCTGGGTTCAGTTCCCAGCACCCACATGGCAGCTCACAACAGTCTGTACCTCCAGTTACAGGGCATCCACTGCCCTTTCTGGGCTCTGCAGCTACTGCATGCATATGGTAAATGTGCATAAATATATTCAAACACTCATACACGTAAAACAAAAAAATATATAAACTGCCTCAAAATTGATCACAATTGACAGAATGTATATCTTGCTAGCAGATGATAAGTATATTAACAAATTTATTTCTTATAGAAATGAAATCTAAAATGAAACATAATTTTCTCTTAGTACCCACAGAGGATTGGTTTCAAGTCCCTCTGCTGACACCAGATCTTCACTCTCAACTCCCTTCTATAAAATGGAATATCATTTGCATATAACCTGGGCACAGCCTCCTGTTTACTCTAAATCTTTTGTGGGTTGGATGACACCTGATACAGTGTAAATTTACACAAATAGTTGTTATGTTATATTGTTTAAAGAACAAAGTCTGTCCATGTTTTCTATAGACATGCTGTTGCTGATTTTTTTTTTTTTTTTAATATTTTCAATCCATGGCTGAAATGCCAGCTCAAGGATATAGAGGACTGACTGAGCTCATATTAATTCAGTGCTGGCTTTGTGCTGAGCATTTAAGATGTTAATTTATTTACGTCTTTCAGGTCTTTGTTTAAAGGTCACCTACTCTGAGTCCTCAACTGTCTAGTTAAAGCTACTATTTCCTGCCTGCTACATACACCACAGGACACCGTTAACCCACTTTCTCGGTTGGATTTGTCTGCTTAGTACTCATCACCTGCTAATGTCATTTACTCCCATGCCTTGTTTATTGGCTGTCTTCTCCTATTACAATGCCAGCCCCATGAAGGTGGAGGGTTTCCCCTCCTGTTTTATTCATTGCTACATTTTTAGTATCCAGAGCAGTGGTGGTCATGAAATACATAGAACACCAATACACATTTGGACTTATGCAACCCTCCTTCCAGAGGCATTTCTGTTACATTTTGTGCAGTCCTAGGCATTCCCACATAGCTATGGAAATAAGGATGGGAAGGAGCAAAGCCAAAGAAAAAGAGGGCGAGTGTGTGGCTTTTGGTATTCCTGGAGGCTACTCTTCATGGAGATGCCTGTCCAGTCTGAGTAGCTGCTGCTGTGTGACAGGGATGCCCCTCTCCCTATCCAGTCTTTCGTGAGTCTTCTGAGTCCTTCCTCTAAGGAACTATGCTGTCATAGTATCCCTCTGTGCTGGAAATGTCCTTGACCATCACTCTCCCCACTAATGGCAAGCCTGTGTCCTGGTGCTCCAATTGGCATCCCTGCCTCAGAGATGGGAAAACACAGATAGATGAGATGTAGGAGTTGTTCACATGGGTCTAGGAACTCAATGCAGACAGGATCACAGAAGCAAACTGGTCTATCCAGTGTGTTTAAGTGCAGGATAGATGTACCACATTAATGTCTAGGGGATTGGGGGAGCTCTGGGACAAATGTGTTCCTACAGTTGTGCCTAAAGTCTTAAGAGAAGGAGGCAAAATAGAACACAGACTCCCTTAGTCCTGAAGCCAAGGAAAGAAATACAAATCACTTAATGGTCTGATTAGGCCTTTTTCTTAACCTGAAGAGAAGAGAATAGGAAAACAAAACAAGACAAAACAATACAAAACAAGAAGTCACCCCAGGCCACAGTTCAAAGTACCTGTGACTCAGTGTAACATGGGAAGATTAAACTGATCTAAAATATGTCAGGTGAGGCCATATCCAATGCCTGTTAAGGATGTATCTTTACATACAGCAATGTTCTGTAAAAACACTGTTAATGGCACAAGTTCATGCTTTTCTGTGCTTGAATATTTTGTGAAATCACATCACTCAAAGAGACCACTCTAGGAAGACAAAGCTATACTAGTATTGTAGACTTATAGGGTATGCAAATCCAAAGGGATCTGGAAGGTCAATGAGGCAGAATCCCTAATTTAGTTACTACGTATTTGAAAAATAACTGACCATATTCATTACGTTTACCTTATATATATTTTTTTTCTCTAGATTGGTCATCCCATTTTATTTCATAATTTTAAAAGGATATTATTATTTACTTATTTTTATTATTTTATGTGCTATATATTTATTATGTGTATGAGTGTTTTCCTGCATTTGTGTATATGTACCGTGTGTGTGTGGTACCTATAGAGAGCAGAAAAGGGTGTTAGATCCCCTGAAACTGGAATTAGAGAGGGTCATGAGTGTGCTAGGAGCCTAACTCAGGTACTCTACAAGAGTGGGATATGTTCTTAACCGCTGAACCATCTCTCCAGCCCTAGAGATTATTTTTAAAACATTATGTCTTTTGAGAATCTTTGTCTTCTAGCTATTGTGTAGAACTAAAATAAAACTGATAGTCTAGCCCACTTTAGTCAGAAGAAAAAAATCAGCCAAACTTCCTTTGTAACTGAGTGTAGTTTGGTTTTGTTTGTCCTGTTTTGTTTTCCCCACATTCTTCCTTGCTTTATATGGATGGTGTTAGGGTTTCTACTGCTGTGGTAAAACACCATACCCAAAATCAGCTTGGGGAGGAAAGGATTTATTTCATCTTACAGCCTACAGTCCATTATCTAGGGAAATCAAAGCAGAAGCTCAATGCAGGGACATTTTCAGTTCCTTTCAGACAGGAACTGAAACAGAGGCCATGGAGCAACACTACTTACTGGCTTTTCAGCCTGTTTGCTTAAAAACCCAGGACTGCCACCCCAGGGTGGCACTATCCAAGTGGGCAGAGCCCTCCCACATCAATCAAGAAAATGTACTATGGACTTGCCAGTCTTTTGGAAGAATTTTCTTTATTGTCTGTCTTCCCAAATGACTCCAGCTTGTGTCAAGTTAACGTAAAACTAACCAGGACACATGGTTCTGATGGTAGACACACACATACACACAAACATACATACATACATACACACACACACACACTCACACACACACACACACACACACACACAGACAGAGGTCTGCCTGTCTTCTAAACTATTTCATGATAAACCAATGTGAACATACAATGGTATGTTGAGTTTAATGTCATTACAGGAATGGCATTCAGTTTTGCCATCAGTGTTTAAGTGCAGCTGTCCATGTGTCTGACATGGGGAAATGAAATCAAGGGCTATGCAGTTCACATGCTGTAGTTCAGAGTCACAGAACTGTGCACAGTGTTCACAGACACCTGTTTTCTTTCTTGATACAGGTCAGCCAAGCTCTGCTTCAGAGAGCCCTATTGAGGATCTTTATAAAACACGAGTCCCCAGCACAGGGCTCTCTCTTAATTCCTTCCATGCTGTCAGATATTGTTCTGGGGCTGTCCCTCCCCATGATGCTGCTGCCAGAACAAATCAGAACATTTCCATCTATTTACCATCCGCTGTGTCCGGTGTCGCCAACCTTCTCCCTCAGCACTGCAATTCTGTGCTTTGCCAAACATGCCCAGCCACTCCCAATTGTCTGGTAAGTGTTCTGGGGTCTGTGAGTCAGACGGGATGCTCTCCAGCCCGTGAGCTGCACTTGGTTGTTAATGCCCTGGTCTCAAAGCTTGTAGTCTGTACCCCAGGAGCTGTGTTGGTTTCTAAGTCACTGTATCTGCTTGATGATAAATGCTACAGTTAACCCAGGCCCCTACTCTCCATGTTGCAGGCCTGGTTTCTGGATGTATCATATGAATCTGGATATGGCCTAGCTAGTCTAGCATTAGGTGACCAAGTGGAATCAGACTTTTGTGGATCTTGATGCCCCTCCTTCTCCTCTCAGCTTCCATTCAAAGTTCCTCTGTCTTCATTCTCAGCTGACCCCATAACTGCTTCTGTTGTCTCGGCTGCAGTGGTTACCCTCACTATATGAAAACCTATCCTCCATTTACTATCAGGCTGAGTCCAGACACCAGTCTTTATACAACAGTCCTTGGGTACCCTCTTGCTCTGACATGTGCTTACTGGCACCTCTGGGAAGGTAGTATCTACAGACATGAAGCTCACACTCATGAAATATCTTGGGGATAAAGCCTGAGAAGCAGGTAATTGTGATATGGGTTGGAGCATGTAGGAAGTTGAGGACATATAGTCAAGTCAATTACTGCAGGCCCCTGGAGAAGAGCTTACTGTCTAAGCCAAGATCCAGAGACAAGGAATTAGCCACATAGGGGGTCTGGAATCAGAGATGAACAAGGGAAGAATACTCCTGGTGGATTGATCAATGTAAACAGTGAAGTCTTTGGAGGCCATAACTAAGTCATATATTCTGTGTACTTGAACGCCATGGTCTAACAATACCTAATACAACCCTTCTAGAGCAGAAAGTGTTGTCATCTCTATGTGACATCTGTGAAACAGGAATAATTCTGGCTGTCTTAAGATGCACTTGTGAGAAAGACATCCCAAAGGGAATTACAGAGAAAACTTAGAATATGAGTGCCACAGATTTAATAGTTCCAGTAATGGTCAGAATAGGAAGGCCAAGACAAATGAAAGAGGATGCTGACTGACTGACTGATTGATTGATGACTGATTGATATGAGATCCTGCCTTGTTATCTGCTCTGTTCTTGAACTCTTAGCCTCAAGTGATCATTCTGCTTAAACCACCCCAAAATATTGGGAACTACTGGCTCACGCTCTAAACCTGACACACTGGGAACTATAGGCTCACACACCTGATTAGTTTTTAGTTATTGACATCTACTTACTGTGTATGTTTTTGCTGTATAATTTTTATGAGAAAAAATTTTGTTTTGGTTTTTTTAAGGTGTGTGTGTGTGTGTGTGTGTGTGTACCACAGTGTACATGTGGAAGTTAGAGGACAGCTTTTCTTGTTTCTCACTTCTTCCTTGTTGAGGCAGTGTCTCTTGTCTCTCTGCAGTGTATTTCAGGCCACGAGCTTCCAGCCAGCTCTCGAGCTACCTCATCCAGCATCTTCCGTGGGTCCCAAGATGCAGACTCAGATCATCAGACTTCTCAGCAACTGTTTGTACCCAATGAACCATCTTCCCGGCGTCAAGAAAACAATTACTTTTAAGAAAAGTAAATATTTGAAAACCTGTAGATTTAGTTGCCTGAAGACTCCAGTTGGCTTTATAAACTATTTCATGGTACAGAAATGCATTTGTGACATTGTTAAGATTGAGCCAGCCTTTGGTTAATGTGTACTTCTCCCTCCTTTGCAGCAACAGTTTGGGGCGTATTAACAATCCATGCTTGAGGCTCATATTCTAGATCACATGCTGGGCACAGTTGTTCATTTCAGGAAGAAAGGACAAAGAAAGATTTTTGAAAGGTGCTGACCCTGGCTTTTGATGAATGTGCTAGAATCTTCAAAGATACATAGAAAGACAGTGGAGGGCAGTGATAGCCTTATGTTCTCAGGCTTCTTCATCCCTGCTGGGACTTCCTGGCCAGAGAGCTGGAAGCAGCAGCAGCCTGAGCGACCCATACACATTCATTCTACCAAAAAATATTGTTCACTTTGTGAAAATCATGCTACCAAAAAGACCCATGTGGGTGTAAACAGCTAAGACTAAGACATGTTGATACTCTCAGTCCACCAAGCACAGATCCTGCAGCCTGCTTGTTTCTGTCACTTATTTCTAGTTGACTTTTTTTCTAGATTTGGCATTTTATGGAGCCCCCTTCTTCATTCATTAGCCAAACTAAAATATCTAGGGGGCTATGGAGCGGTGCTTGCTTTTCCAGTGGGTGACTGGCTACATTAATATGCTTTTGGTTGCATTTTGCAACCATGTCAGTGGGATGAGAGCTAGGAGAGGCATTGTTCTTGCTGGATCTTTTATTTACAGACCCACAGATTTCTGCTTTGTCCTTTCTCCCTAAGTGGTACTAGAGCAACTGTTGAAAATGGGGGGGAGGTGTCATTGTTTTATACTTCACCAAAATGTTCTTACCAAAAGTTTTACTGTTAAAGTGTTAAGGTTTACTGTGTAATCCATTGTTTTGTTTAATAAAGTGTTTTCTTTTTCTAATAACAGCATGAGAGGAATTTGATTTTATTAGATTTTTGAGATGCCTAATAATAATTACCTCAGCTTTTGTTTTTCTTGTTGTAAGTTCTTTGAAGATGACAAAGTGACAAACTGTAGATATGGGATGCACTGTGTGAGGGAAGCAGGAGTTTCCAACTTAGGGCCTATGCTACTTCGTGGTAATGACTGTTTGTAGTCTCAACTGCAGTTGCTTTGGCATTGGAAGAGAAGTTACTGAGGTGTTTCAGGTTCTGTGAGCTTTTCTTGTCCCTGGGGGGCCTTCCTTACTGCTAGAAGTGCTGATCAGATGGGCTTTCTCCAGATGCACACATGGGTTCTGAGAGAGGCTGTGGCCAGGAATCCTAAGAGAAAAGACTTTTGGAGCATGACTCTGGGAGCTATTTGTCTGCTTAAGGCCCCTCAGTCCCCATTTCCCTTTCAATGTGAGCAGAGCCTGCCTGGTCCATACTTAAAGCTTTTTTAAATTAAAGGCTGGTGTTTCTAAAATCCCTTCCCTTGGGGCAGACATAAACAACATCTACTCCTCCCAAGTCTCCAGCCACAAACTGGAGGCTTGATTCCCCCAGAGTTCACTCTGAGGATCCAATGAGTTGATTAGGCCCCTTACAAAGCACCAGTGAAGGTTTACTCCAAGGGTGTCTCTGCCCCTCCTGCAAAGGCTACACCTAGAAAGCCTACACAGCAGGGATGATGGCTGTCCTGCAGCCTCATAGATGGAGCTCCCTTCTTCTAGTCTTCCTCAGCCTTTATACTCTAGCCCCTCCCCAAAGCCATGTGTAATTAAGGCAGTGTTGGACTCCCAGGATGTCAGTTGCCATTGGAGGATAGTCACACAAGCAGCCGGTTCCAGAGTTCTGAACGTCATATAAGTGCCCAAAGCCTAGGTGAGAACTTCATTTTTTAATAAATTATGTTTTTCCAAATAAGCTCAACTCTCAGCCAAAGACTTAGCAGGCCTCAGCTCAAAGAAGGATTCTTTTTTTTTTTTTTTTTTTTTTTTCCATTTTGGGCATGTTTGTATGTTATGTGTCTGTGGTGCATACATGTGAGTGTGCAGGCACATACGCCTATGTATACACACTCACAGACCAGACAAAGATGTCAGGTGTCTTTTCTGTTGCTTTCTGCCTTATTGCTGTGAGCCAGGGCCTTTCATGGAACCCTTTCATAGCTCACCATTTCATCTAGACTGGTTGACAAGCAAGCTCTTAATTCATTTGTATCCACCCCTGTAAGCCAGTGTTGCAGACACACATAGTCATGTTCAGCTTTTAACCCAAGTACTGGGGATTTGAAGTCAGGTCCTCACACTTGCAAGGTAAGCACTCTTACCCACAGGCCCATCTCTCCAGCCCCAGGATTTTCTTTAAAAAGTCAAATTGTCAGGTCATGAGACAGTATAATATGAAAACTGTACTAGGAGGTTGCCTACAGTGATGGAGCCTATGTTTCTGTTAGTAGTAGAATTAGCAAGGCTTGGTAGATATCCAATGAGGGGGTTTGAGAAGGGCAAAGGATGAAGGCAGATACCCATGTCTCCATCTTCAGTGGCTAGTGATGAAGTTCATTGAGAAAGGAAAGCATCACTTGGCAGAATGGCATGAAAAAGCAACAGCACTAATTAGTATCTGTGGTGCAGCAGGCTATTTTTCTGGAGGCCACCTAACTGCATCCAGATACAGTCAGTACAGACAGGAACCCTGAATGGCAGATGACGTTATCCTTTTTCTGATACTACGCAATTCATCCCAAGGAGCCACAGGCTTCTCATGGTGTTCTATGGTGGCACTGGCTGGTGTGTATTTGCTGATTGTTGGAGTCGTGGGAAACTAAATTTCTCCTTATTTCTAGCATTTGACAATGCCAGGCCTCTGTCTACTATGCAAAGCAACAATGAGCTACCTATGGAGGAATGGCTTCCCCTCTGAAAGGGATTCACTTCCCTTTGGTCATTCTCCCACTCAGTCTGCCTGATACCTGATCCATCAAGGATTCCAGTTTGACTCCTAAAAGATCAGTGGTTTTCCTGTATAAGTAATTGCTTCTCTAGGAGTGGGAGGGAACTTGATCAATTTCCAGGCCATACCCCCCAGAGTCAGATGTGGAAGACTTAGCTAGGCTGGGACCTAGTACTCTGCATGCCAATGAACCCTAATAGATGTGTTAGCATATATCTGGTTATCCTATCTCAACCTACTCTATACACTAAATGAGTGCAGATACCCATGGGGCACACAAACAAAGAATGGACCCACTATCAAACTTCATTGACTCCCAAACCTGGCAGCATTTATAGATTTACTCAAAAACAACCTGGCTCCATGCATCCAGGACAGAGCCCAGCCCTCCATAGGACAATTCTGACACACAAGTTTGGGTGCTGTTGTTGTAACCTGTATGTAACCTGTAACATGTTCATCGAGTATGTGGAGGGCCAAAATCAGGAGATGAAGGGTACAGCGTATCTAGATGGCATGGAAACTGGGTGGAGAAAGCTGTTTTTGAATTTTTATTAAAAGTATTGTCTAAAGTAGACTGCCATATGTATAAAACAATACCAGACAGCCTTGGCAGACTGACAGCAGCCCCCAGCCTCTTGGCAGTTTTCTGTGGAGCTCTCAGGAGTACAGCTGACCTCTGGCTCTTCCTTCCCATTCTGTGGACTCTCTGGTATGTGGAATGAGGAAGTAAAGTGGGAAACTCAGGATCACCTTGGTTAATCTGGTATCAAGAGCTGGTTTCATCACCATGGAAACACGACACCCTTGTGCAAGACTGAGAAACCCTTCATCTCTATTTTTCAAGGTTGGTTTTATAATCCAGGATAATCATCTTTCTGAAAACAAAATAATTGGAGAACACAGGCAGCTGTGATTGGTTAAATAATAGGGTCTTATATGCTGCTGAGTTTTTCTCAGACTCTTATAAAGCTTTTTAAGAATGTTTTTCTCAACACAAAGGTTACGAGTAAGTCCAATTATAAAGTGGGTGTACTGTGTGCTAAGTAAGACTCCAGAGAAATGGTTTCCAGAATGTTCAGGTCAACTTGTTTTGAAAAGTGGCCTTTGCAAACAAATATTTCTTGACAATTTAATTCTTCCCCAGATAGCCACAAGGATTCGTTTCATGAGGGAGAAGTGATAGCATTTTTATAAAACATTAAATTCTTATTCCTTTCAGCCTGCCTCAGGCTACTCCCATTTCCCTCAAAATAATAGCTTATTTGAAAAAATTAGGCTTTGGGCTTAGGCAAAACTATATGATTGAAAAAAAGAAAACCTGTAAGAGGTCTTAACAAAGCAAGTGTCACAAAGATTATTTGCCTCACAGACTCTTTGAAATAGAAAGCGCTGAAAAGTAAAATACCATGTGTGCATTGGGGTCTGTACACAGAACCAAGAATGCACTGATCTCTCTGCTGCTATAGGCTCATCCTGGCACTCTTCTGTGCCATGCTAATACTCATATTCGGGAAATAGTAAGGGGCAGGAAGCCCACTGGATTTAAACTCTAGAGGTTTATTTTATTTACTATATTAAAAATGTCAACATGGCATACTGATTTTATCTCTTAGTGGAGTGGTATCATTGAACTGTCAAGTGACATTTAACTTCTAAATACTGACTTTTAAAAGACATTTTATGGCTCTTTCTTGACTCCATCTTCGCGGTAGCAGCTTCGGCGTCCGCGGGTTAGTCGCCAACATGCAGCTCTTTGTATGCGCCCAGGGACTACACACTCTCGAGGTGACCGGCCAAGAGACGGTCGCCCAGATAAAACTCATGTGGCCTCACTGGAAGGCATTTCCCTGGAAGATCAAGTCGTGCTTTTGGCTCGCCGTTGGAGGATGAGGCCACCCTAGGCCAGTGTGGCGTAGAGGCCCTGACTAATCTGGAAGTAGCTGGTTGCATGTTGGGAAGTAAAGTTCATGGTTCCCTAGCTCATGCTGGAAAAGTGAGAGGTCAAACTCCCAAGGTGGCCAAACGGGAGAAGAAAAAGAAGACAGGTCGGGCCAAGT